AACCCACCATTTGTCTCTCCAAGGGAGCTATTTTCCAATAGCTGCAAAATGAGGTAATTCAGTTCCAGATATTGTGCAAAGGAGAGAGGCTGAGAGTACAGTGTGCAAGGGGAAACTATTGGTGATCTGTAGAAAAAAGTCCCATTTCTGACCCTTTGGTGGAAGTGGGATTAAATCCATTAGTTAGTTTGAAAAGCCTGCCAGGATTGGACAGCGACAAAACACACAGCTTCTCTCCTTAAAATAGATTCAACATTACAAAGACTTTTCTTTCTCCATTCAAGAGAGAGAGAGTGAGAGAGAGAGAGAGTAGTGTGTTAGGGGGAGGGGTGATATTGAGAAAATTGTTGCTATGCTAAACAGAAACTACCTGATTTTTGTTTGTTTCCAGTCAGATTCGTCGGCCATTAGGAATAATATTTAAAATCTGAGCAAAAATGACCTGGAAAGGAAGGAGATGGGAGAAGAGAGGATAATTTATCGTATTGTTGCTTTAGTACACTTGTTAATTGAATTCATTACTTGTTAATGTTCTAATGCACCCCTATCCCAATGGTACTGCTAGATGTTTTAAAAGTAGGGAATGTTACTTTACATTAAGATTTTTTTTTACTAGACTCAGAAAATCTCAGCAAAAGGAAAACTTAAACTACGTTATTTCCCTGCTTTTCCCGGCCCCGTAGTGTACGTCGCACTAACAACTATCTAGAGAAGGAAAAGTACAAAAAAATGCAACGCTCTCGTCTCCCTCCCATACTATCAACCTTAGGAGAGTTAAATGATTTTCGATAGGCTAAAAAGATATGATTGTCTGATCAGCCAATGATAATGCGGATCTAACTCTGATCAATAGAGAGACAAGACGTGACGGGATGACTTGTCAACTCCAATAGGAAATGAGGAAAGAGGGGTTCTTTATTTGCATGAGGTTATATAAAAGAGGGGCAGCAGCGAGTTTCACCAGTACTGATTTTTCTAAGAGTGTGTAACAGACACTTTTAAGGAAGAGTAAGACTACATTTAACAGTCTAAAAATGCCTGAACCTGCAAAATCTGCTCCAGCTGCAAAGAAGGGGTCTAAGAAAGCCGTGACTAAGACTCAGAAGAAAGGAGACAAGAAGCGTAGAAAGACAAGGAAAGAAAGTTATTCTATCTACGTGTATAAAGTGTTGAAGCAAGTTCATCCGGATACTGGTATCTCTTCTAAGGCTATGGGTATAATGAATTCTTTTGTAAATGACATCTTTGAGCGTATCGCTGGGGAAGCGTCTCGCCTGGCGCATTACAACAAGCGCTCGACTATAACTTCCCGGGAGATCCAGACCGCTGTGCGCCTGTTACTACCTGGCGAGCTGGCCAAACATGCTGTGTCTGAGGGTACCAAGGCTGTTACCAAATACACCAGCTCTAAGTAAACATCTGGCTAACTAAATCTGTAACCCAAAGGCTCTTTTAAGAGCCAATCATATTTTCATTCAAAGAGCATAGGATCACTAACAAGTATCATTTTGTATTTTTCAAACTGCATCAAGTCGTTTGTGAAGGGGTAATAAATCAGGCAGGCATTAAGTCTTACGTAACTATTTCCAAGTAACTTGTTAGCAGTTTTTCTTCCCAAAATTTGTGCAGAAAAGGGGCCTGGATTCTCTTTACTAATTATAATAAACAAGCACTTGTATTTGCTACAGTCTAGGTGAAAAGATTCTTATCACTTCTCTAAAAGTGATCAAAGCCACCCGTTACTGAAGTAGCATAATGATTAAGTGGTATTCAGGCAACATCTTAGCAACACATTAGGTTTAAAAACTGATTTTATACATAATAATTTTCTGGGATCTGTTGGTTTTCAAACTAATCATTTTTGTCATTGTTCCCTAATATCTCATTCCTCCCTACCATCTCCCCATGCCTGAAAACTTTTTAGTTGTCAATTTCTTACATCAAGACATTAAAAAACAGTTTTCCTTTTATTTTCGAAGCACCTTTTCCCTATTTAGCCATAAACTTTCATTTGGCCACTGTATAGATTTATGGGATTACAGATAGGTTAGCCATTCTGAAGAAGTTTGTTGAAATGGAATTTTAAACAAAACACACATAGGAACCAGGATCAGATCTGATTACAGTTATAGCAACACAGTTATTATTCTATTACTTTATACTATAGAACCCTTAGGTAGTAATCCTCTAGGATTTCACTATGATCCATTCTCACCTATTTAGCTGGCAGGGGCACAAAAAGTTTGGTTATGGTATATTCTCTAAAAGGGTCAGTTCCATTGCCTTTTTACTTTCATGGCTGAGAAGCTAAGACGTTTTGTAGGCTTGAAAAAGCGACAGTACAAACTAAAGACGTAAATGAAGTTTCAGTTAATTGGCAGGAGTTGGGGGTGGCCCTTTCTATACCCTGGATGAGCTTTAACCTCCAAACTTATAAAGAGTTGGGCTCGATATTTCAGGACATAACCCATTCTCGTGGCTATCAAGGTCTTTCTTTTCCTGGTCTCAGCATAAATAGCATCATCGAGGATCACCCGTAGATGAGGCCAGAGATACATTTCACCACTACAGCAAACGCGGTGACAGAAAATCGGTAATACATGAATATTATTTCGAGGCATTTTCTGTGATGCTTAAACCCACTTTTACTATGATCATTTTCTCCTTCACCACGTTCAAACATTTTATTAGACATCTTCAGTAATAATAAAATGACTGTGGGCTGCTGACTTGCATAGCGCGTCTATGATGTATCCGACCTGATTGAAAACTGAGTTGAGATTTTTGAACGGATGAAATGATACTCCTACTCCTTCAAAGCCTCTAAAAAATTTGCCAAGCCTCACTTCTAGAATACGTAAATTAT